ACTATTAATTGTCTGAAAGGAGAAACATCATAGAGTGAGATTTATAAAATTCCTATAAATACATACGGCTTGAATTATTATCGTGTATAACTTAAAGGAGCATAATAATCATAATCAACATAATGGAGATACAAGAATTTTACCGAACATAGGTAATAAGAATTCTTATGTGTAGCGCTACTAAACTCCTGTTCCCTGAACTTATATAATAATATTGTATCATATGAGACCCGTAATATTTCTTGAAACATAATAATAATTCAAACATATGTAGCGTACTTACTGTGAAATTTAAAAGAAAGAATAATAGAAATCGAATAAAATTGCTTGATCCTTCTTACAATTTCCACCTCGGCTATGTGCGTGTATATGTGTATATTATTTGGACTGAAAAAAATATTAGAAAGTGGTAGCATGTGAATGTGAATGAGCAATAGGACAAGACTAGCATGCATCACTAAGAAAAAATCCATGATATGGTGAAAAGACTATTAATTCTAGCATTGAAAATATTCCTAGAAATTTGTGAAATGAGCAAGAATCTCTCNACTATTAATTGTCTGAAAGGAGAAATATCATAGAGTGAGATTTATAAAATCCCTATAAATACATACGCCTTGAATTATTATCGTGTATAACTTAAAGGAGCATAATAATCATAATCAACATAATGGAGATACAAGAATTTTACCGAACATAGGTGATAAGAATTCTTATGTGTAGCACTACTAAACTCCTGTTCCCTGAACTTATATAATAATATTGTATCATATGAGACCCGTAATATTTTCTTGAAACATAATAATAATTCAAACATATGTAGCGTACTTACTGTGAAATTTAAAAGAAAGAATAATAGAAATCGAATAAAATTGCTTGATCCTTCTTACAATTTCCACCTCGACTATGTGAGTGTATATGTGTATATTATTTGGATTGAAAAAAATATTAGAAAGTGGTAGCATGTGAATGTGAATGAGCAATAGGATAAGACTAGCATGCATAACTAAGAAAAAATCCATGATATGGTGGAAAGACTATTAATTCTAGCATTGAAAATATTCCTAGAAATTTGTGAAATGAGCAAGAATCTCTCCCTCATTCCTCACGTGAATATTACATTTTGTATACACACTACCCCATGTTTGGTCAATCATGAATTTGACCACAAAATATATCAAGGATTTCTATGTAAGGATTTAACCAAGCATTCAACCCTTTTTCAAAGACTAAAACTTGTGGGAATTAGCATATATACTAAGTTTGCTACAAGGTCCTAGAAGAT